GTTTCATTCGTCCCCATTTAGAGTACGGAAACATAGTATTCCCTCCTACACTCCAAAAGGATAAGGACACTCTGGAGCGTATCCAACGGCGAGCCACGAAATCAGTTCGGGGACTCAAATTTAAACCTTACGATGAGCGCCTCCAATCACTCGACCTTTACCCATTAGAGTATAGGCGTCTTAGAGGTGACATTCTAATGGCTGACAGTATCCTTAACACACCTGGACACCCTCTTAAACACCTACTTAAGCTTAGTCCCAACACTAACCTAAGGAGTAACACCCAAAAACTGGAGATACAACATAGTAGAACGGACTGCAGACACAATTTCTACTCCTTAAGAGTTGTCAAATGCTGGAACTCGCTTCCAGCTGAGCTAGTCCAAGCAACTTCCCAGGAGTCCTTGAAGAGGCGACTTGATCTATTCTTAAGGACTAAGGATAGTATCCTACTATGATTTACCAATTCATTTTCTTTCTCTTTTATCGTTAATATACCTAGGTTCTTGCCTGGAGGTATTGGTGATCCCCTGCTACTAGACACGGAAGCCTGTTAAGCGAAAGCTTCTTCTATTCCGTCCGCAACCATTTGAACCATTTGAACCATTTGAATCGTGACGATCGGCAATAAGACGTTTAGTACTTTTGAAGGACACATTTCGACTGGTGATAAAATAATGTACTTCATGTGAAAAGGTATGAGCTACATAGATAACCACTCCTACGAGGCTGAGCCATGTCATACAGATATAATGTTCCCGTGTTTTCAATTCTTGATATTCCCTAGGTGCTACATATTATATGTAAGTCTCAGTAATTATATGCTCGATCTCAAAGAGAGTATGGTCAGGGACCAACCACCACAGATTCACACAATTTAAGTGGTACACAACAGGACAGAGATCTTTTCGCCAAAGTCGTCTTCTGAGTGAATGCCGTTGCTCATTGAGCACGGTGGTGCTAGTACACTCGAAAGCTGCTTGCACTACAAGCGGTAAAAGAAATAACCGGTGGATAGGCACGGTGATCTTTTACTACTAGTTCAGGTATCTGGACAACTCATGGATTAATCAAAAGTAATTTGTGTCTCTATGAGACTGAAAATAATACTCTCTAAAACTCGAATAAAGCAGAATAAATTACTAAGACTCCTTCCCAGTATTGCCAGATCTAAATAAGCTACAGGGAACATCCAGGAGACAGGCCTCCTAAACCCCAAATTTGGTGTCATCGTTTTCTACCAAAGCGTGTCGATTTTATTTTGTCAGCAGATTCAAGTGTAATGGGTGAGGTTTTTCGACCCATCTCAGTTTTGCTCTGAAGTGTGAGACTAAATACCACACCGGTATCCACAAAAATGTTAAAGCCTGAATTTCTATCCCTCGCATAAAACGAGCGACTATTGAAACACCTCTCTTCAGTCGACGAGTCCTGAGGGTTTTTCGTTTCCTATATCCTTGGGAGTCTATGTGGACCAAGTACATGGTTGAGTACATATGGTTGATTTGATACCAAAATTATGGTGAAAGCAAAAGAACTGCCCAAATTGTCTGGACGTTTGTGACCTGCCCTGTGATTTGGGTCTCGGTCGTTGTAGTGACTTACTCTTGTTTCTACTGCCCGTTCGCATTTTAGTGACAGCTTTTGTGAGAATCCTAACACTTACAATGAGTCTTGATATGACTGGGTCATTTGATGGTTCTTTGTTTCGTGTATGATGCATTGCAGATAATCCATCTAGGGACTTCATTCCATTATTCTCTCTACGATACGCGCTGAGTAAGATAAAGCAATGTCCAGGTGTTGGGCATCGGAACAGTGTTGGATGAGGCATAGAAGTGCTTGCATCTATTTTTATTTTAGGACTACTTTACCCAGTGTGTTATCGCTCGTTAGGACTTGATGGTGACATAGGAACCGTGATGGTCAGCTATCGTTCCATATTTCTCCTTGGAAAATCATTTAGAATCTTAAGCCGTCTGACAGATGGATGGTTCATTATCTTCCGTTTGAAAATGATGTGTGGTTTAGGTGTTGGTAGACTCAAAATCAAATCACGGACTTCTTTAACGACTGAAGGAGGGGTGAAGAGCATAAGTCTCGGCAGCGAGCTCCTCCAGATCTAATATTGTGTCTCGTGAGATGTTCTTAAGATGGCAAACCACAATTCTTGACCACAACGATCGAATTCTATGAGTCGGGCTTTTGTAGTCATAACAATGTACATCACTACCGGTGTCAGATTACATTTATTCTCCAGGCTTCCGGTCTGTATTGAGTCCATCATGTGGTAGATGACCAAAATATATTTATATTGATGTGACATGAAAGGATTAACGAATAACTTAAACACGTATACTTTGCAATAAAAAACTATATATATATAAGTTTATGTTGAAGATAATCCGAAGGTTTACTTTACAACTAAGAAAATAAAAGCAATAAGCAAAACAAAAATTAATTTTGTGATCGAAACGGGGCTCGCCAATTTCTTGCTGGTGAGTAGCCTTATTTGATCTTTCGAAGAAGAAAAACTAGTAGTGAATAGGTCTTCAGTTGGATTGTAGAGCACACAAGGTTTTTCAACATTCAATACACAATAATAGGAAGTAGGAAGTGGATAAATAATTAAACTCTGGTGTTTTAACATTACTAAGATATTTGCGGCCAACTCTTAAGTAACCAACCCAAGTTGTTACAGTTTTGCCTTTAAACTAACACAAAATTTCGTGTTTACTCAAGGCTCAATGCAGAAAACGACTCTTATGCCCTGTCCCCTTGCCTTAACAGGGAAAGTATCATAATGCCTCATATGGCAAACAATCATCTTTAACCAAATAGGTAAGTTAGATGGTCTGGTATATATGAGTCAAACTATCATTGGTATAACAGGTCTGCAGCCAGGGATTAATGGTTAAGAGTTTACCAACAACATGCTATTAGAATAAAAGCGTCACCGCTAGTAGTTATTTACTTCCTCAGTTTGTGTGGGCTAGGAAAATGGCTCCTTGAAGAAACCATCTGCTTGGCTTTGGAAACTCTGACATCACAGCCCTCACACAAATCAATGATAACTACCATTGGCCTCACTGGCATTGTGTGGCGTATATGTATTCGATGTCCCCTTGTATCAATGTCGTGTGTTCAAATAAATAAATATAATAAACACTTTCCATTTCCTCCCTTTTACTTGTAGTGACCTACTTTTGTCAACAGAACGCGATTGGTTCAATGAAAACAATTATTATTATAACCAAATGTACCAGTGACTGTTTTACTGTGCTCGTTTGTTTAACTATGCCAATGACAGCCATTACACTTACTCTCCCGTTGACTTTGAACTTGTACGAATTTGGTTACGCTCAGTAACCACGCTTGTACTCCTTTGGCACGATCTCGGTATTCTTTCGATACCACGAGATCGCCAACAAATACATCTCGACTACAACCATCATCTGTCTTCTGATATTGGCCTACGGGGATCTTATTGGTTAATTGGCACGTAGTCTTGTAGCGGTGTTCATAGTCAAGCTCAACTCGACACCACGCTACATACTGGTGAATGTCTGTGTATTTGAGCAAGACAGCCCTGTCTCCACTTGCTTCCTTATTGTGTAGCCACATCTGAGACCATACTCTTGATGAATTTTTTCGATATTATTAACTAATGAGGGTTGAAAGATTAAACCCAACAAACGTACTTAAACCGCTCAGTTAGTATACTTGACTCAGTAGATTCAGATGAAACAGTGTAAATGCTCCGATTAACGAACCGTACGTTGAGTTTCCACCACCCAACAATTTCTTACTCTTGTCCGCGCTAACCTGTCTAACAGGATGTTCCACTTTTCTATCACGCTTAGAGAACAGGACAAATCTTGTTAGGAATATAAACATATAAACGCTCAGTGAATAAAACGACAGAGGGTAAGTTGCGGTTATTTTGCCACACGTTGCAGGTACACCGCATCATCTAACTAATTCGTGTCCGACTTTATATGTTAAAATAAATTACATTTTTCTCAGTGATCGGTGTACCAAATTTGAGATAAGTTTGACCTGACGGATAATTTGTCCAAAATACTTGTGTTATTTCGCTGGTCCGACAAGTACTAGATTACACCCAAGTGGACAGAATTTTTGAATACATAATGAAAGAGCTTGTAGTAAAATTCATTATAGCTTTCGGAACAGGAAGTCGTGGTATCCCTTGTAGGAAACCATAGCGATGAAACCTTTATTAATTGTCTCGAAAGAAGGCATACACCATTCCTCAATTCCACAGATACTATTGGCGAGTAAATAGGCGTCAATAACTCCTCTCATCGTTGAACATATAGATCACCAGTGTAGATGATCCATTTGTATGATTCCAGTCTTCTTGAGTTGGCCAAGAATGTTGTGACATAGTTTGAGTCGATGTCACGCCTTGCGGTTAATACCTAGAGTTGATTACCTCCTCTTGATACCCAGGTAGCGAGGCTACTTCGATGACTGTCTAGAACACGTATGACATTATTGAAGAAATATATTAGTAGGTGAACGTTGAAGAAACATAGCGCAACCATGGCCTCATGAGCCAGCCTATGGCATGCAGCCTGTTAATAGGCTTTAGTCATCCCTCACCCTAGAGATGTTCGACGTTCAAGGTAAAAACGTTCAGTTAGAGCTTCCAACAAACCCTATACCCATATTTTCAAGATTCAAATGGAACAGAACAAAAATTTCATTTCTTAATAACCAAGAACTTTTCTCTGCCATTAGATAAAGATTCAAAGACACAAACGTTTTGCGATTTCTACCCGGTAAAGGAGGAAGTGGAAACTTAATATGCACAGAAGATCAATACAAAGTGGGTAGAATGAACTATCTTTTTTGCACTAACGAAAAGTCTCTTCCGATTATATAGCAGTTCAAGGTTTCTATAGGATAAAGTTTTGTTTAATGAAACAGTGAAGACGCGAAGTTTTTAATTGGAGCCGCACGAGCGGTAATTCAATATGGGCTGTATGTTGTGGTTCGTACTCTACACCTACTTGTTGTTAACTTCTGGGTATATTCAGGATTGTTTTGCACATACGATAATCACTGTTGAACATGGGACATTCACAAATATTTCTGTCAATGGTTTGGCGTATGTCGAAGTTCTCAAAATTCCGCTGGGGAGCAAATTTGTTGTGTATCAAGTGCATAGCCCCTTCAACCCACTGCTAGTGTCTACATCAGCCTCGTTTACATATGACACTTCACAATACTCGGCTCATTGCGGCTTAGCTAGTTTTGTTGAAAACAAAACATATTCGACATTCTACGTTTATTCTTCCTATAGTGTTCCGCTAACTGTGTGGGTCAAAGCTGTTGCATATGGATCAGAATGTATGTTTATGGTAGTGCTATATATCTGTCATTGTAGTTCCATTGCCAGGTGGTTGTGGTCGTAGTTCGCGTAGTGATTTCATGAATGCAGCCATCACCACAGATATAATGACTAAAAATATAAATCTTTCAAGCTCGAAACGCATTGAGTTTTTAAGCTATTGGACGTCTGCCCTCCAGCTTTCTGCAGCTTCGGCACCTGTCGGATCAGGCGGTTTCGCGTGTTCCCACTGGATTACCGAAAGTAAGCCATCAGGCAGCCTAGTTTATCACGTTTATGGTACACCACTAATAACTGCTGGTGGTTCTTATGGAGCCTTCATGAATCCTAGTCCCAGTGAAGCTGCATCAGTCTTAAAAAACATGGCCAACTTTGGCCATTCATCATTTGTTGGTACTTACATACAGTCATTTCACCAGAGGTAAGTGTCTCAGCGTTATTGTCATTCGTCTCATGAACGTTATGTGTACAGTCATATAAGTTACGCAAGAACTTCACAATACTGAAAGTTTATTTCTAGTTTAAGTGTCATGTGTCTATTTAACATTATACATTTCTAAATATAGCTCACATCGAACCCACTCAAACAACGGTGGCAAGTTTTAGTTTGGTTTTTGTGCCCTTCCGTTCTTGTGCTTTGATCTGTTTTAACTATAGTGCACCTTCACATGTAATAGTAAGTAACTAATCACATTCTTGATAACACTAATTTCCAAAATATGGTTTTAGTTCTTTGGTTTTAAGCTAAGAAGAACTATGTTTCGATTGCGTATGGTCGAATGCTAATTCCCCTAAGGCACGAATTCACTAAGTGCAGCTCAGTATTTTCGATTTATTATCGATATACTATTTCACTTGTTCTGCACTTATGTATTATAAGTCTCTCATTCTGGATGTTTTGCGCACACTTAATTCAGTTTATATGAATTTAAGGAGCATCAGTTTTGTATTACTACTATTTATTTATTTGAATATATAAGTATTGGTACAAAGGGGCACCAAATACATATGCACCATACGAGTCACTTGATTAATGTGTGGGCTATGATACTGCCGGGGTGAACAAACCTAGGCAGGTGGTTTTCTTAGGGCACCACACCCAGAGCCTTCGACCTAAAGGTAGCGATGCACTTCCATGGTAGCCGGTGACCAACATTTGGTTCATACACCATTTGTGCACCATTGGTTTGGAATAAGGGTTTTATAACTTCCCTGGGTGAACCCTCCGAGTTCACCAACCCGGTTAAACTGCCGAGCATTCGGTTTTCGTCCTCGCAACTTCGTAAACAACACCCCTCCTTGAGAAGGCAGTGAGTAGTACTTCCCTGGTAGTCATTGTATATGCGTGGCCATGTGGGACCGTTTCGGGAGAGAGCTGGCTCTTCTCGCTCTCGACCGTACCAGGACATTTGGGGACTTTCTATTTCTAACGTAAGCCTAAAAGGAAAATAAGATTTGAAGTTTGTTGTCATTTTTCTTATTACTGTATATTTTGAGAGGATTTGAATGTATCAACTAAATTTACCCTGGATATTGTTTTAATAGTGAATTCGCACCAAATGAAGAATTTATTAACATAATCGTCTCACGCCGTCCAGCTACAGCATATATTGTCACTGTTGTTGTGGAGTATTCAGTTTCTGGTGATACTTGGCAAGTGCCATATATTCCTGTCATTCTTTTTGGTTGCCCTGCACAGATTTCACCCAGTTTCTACCGTACTGTATATAACCAACCTACTTCAAATGCTAGTTTGGAAGTCAACTGTGGTACTCTTCCTAAAGATACACCAGTTATCCTATTTCCTGTTGCTGTCTTGCTTCTTGCAGGTTTTTTATATGCTACTTCATGTAATATGTGGATTTGGCCCCGTAAGTTTTTGTTTTTTACAGATGTTTATTTGTTTTCGGAGCTTTATACTTAAAGTAAGCTGCTGTAGTCATAAACTGTTTCTGACCATTGAGTGTTAATATCAATGGAAGCTATTATACCAATATGTAGTGAACATAAATTAAGCTGTTGATCTTAGGCTTAGTTGTTATAGTGTCTTCAAAGTTTCCTTTTCCCATCACAACCAGAGCGATCATTCAGTGTGTTGTGGTAGTCTACTTAATTTCATCATAAGGGTTATTACAAGAGTATATATCTATTTACTAAGTACATTCGGTCCGAAAAAATCTAATCCCTCAATGTTTACCCGCAACCAGTTTAAAAATGTCAGAAAACTGCTTTACATACCCAATTTTTAGTGCAAATACATATTTTAGGTCATTCAACTCTACCACGTTAGAATAGTACTTCAATGATCAAATGGTTTGTGTATTAGATATATGCATTAGGTAGATGAAGTGTAGTCAGTTTCCAGAATCAGTTAGTCAGTTGAGTTCAAATCTTATTTTCGTACCCTTTTTTATTTTCTTTCAGATTTCGAGTTCTAATATAATTCTATACTCCTGAATGTTGGATTCTATTAGCTCTTTTTAGGGTACATTTCTTGGTTTTAGCCTTTTGCTACCGTTGTGACTGGTATTAGTTCGACTCCTTTGACCCCTATTTTTTGACTTTCATGGTGATGTATAGTGCAACAATTTGGGTCGATGTAAATTTGCGCTAGGTTCTTCATTTTAATGACTGTTTGAGACTAAATCATACATACAGTTTAGTGCTGTAAACATCTGATGGACAATCATATATTTTATTAAATATATTGCAGTAAGTTTGTGATGTCATGTGATATGCTTTTGCAAGGTTAGTCTTCACTTAGTTTAGAGCTTTATATTTTCAGCTGCCATGCAGTATTACTTATCGTTCAAGTGAGGGTCCAAATTTCGACTCCAATATTCATTTAGACGCAATCAGTTTAATGCCATCCAAACCCACTGTATTTATTTATTTATTTATTTGAACACATAAATATTGGTACAGGAGGGCACCAAATATATATGCGCTACACAAAACAATGGTAATTTGAAGAGAAGGAGAAAAAAAAGTAATGAACGTGGGGAATTATAAAAAAAAAAGAGAGAGAACAATGATGGGGAAAACGAAAAGGTACAATCAGAAGAAATCTTTCAGTTAAGGAAGAAGCAACCACTTTTTATGAAGAAAGTAAAAGAAGGTTACAGCAGGATCGCCATTGGCTTCTATTCTGAGCCATATCTGATAACGTCTTTAGCCACTGTGTTACACCATCTCTCGGACCCCAGCCAGGGAGTCGTGAAGGACCAACAGAAGCTAGCCCTTTGCAGCTTTCTTTCATACCACGACACCATGTCATATACTGACCACCTCTCCGCTTTTTCCAACCAGTCCCAGAGTCGGCAAATAATGCACGACGAGGAATTCTCTGGGAGGACATTCGTAGAACATGTCCAAGCCACAGAAGTCGGTGTTTCAAGATGGTGACACCAATGGAATTATCGTCTCTGTGACCGAACACACGATGCAGGACCTCTGCATTACTGACATAGTGTTGCCACTGGATGTGAGCAATCCTTCGGAGACAACGATGATCAAACACAGTGAGTCGTCTAACATCCTCAACTCGGAGAGGCCAGGTTTCACAAGCATAGAGCAGAACTGCTCTTGCCGACGCGTTGTAGATCTGACCTTTTACAGCCAGACTAGCATCACGAAGGCGCCAAAGATGGCCCAGATTGGCATAAGCCGCTCTGGCTTTCACTGTACGTGCATTGATCTCATCACTCACGCCACCACCAGCAATTATGCAGCTACCTAGATACACGAACTTCTCGACTACTTCTATCTGCTCACTACTCAGGGTGAGTACAGGATTAGAATCCTGCCAGTCTTGTAGAAGTACTTTGCACTTCGAAGGTGCAAAGCACATACCATACCTACGGACATTGATTGCCAACTGATTAAGTGCGGATTGCATAGCTTGGGCATTCTCACACAGTAAGACAATATCATCCGCATACTCAAGGTCAAGAAGTCTTTCTCCAGGCAACAGATTCACACCGCCATTACTTACATCCATCAGAGCTGTTTCCAGAATGTCATCGATAGCAAAGTTGAAGAGGAATGGTGAGATTGGGCAACCCTGCCTAACCCCACTGCTCAAATGGAATAATAGAGAACGGTGGTTGTATGCCCTCACTCTGCCTGAGATGTTTGTGTATAGGGCTTTCAAGATGTTAATAAACTTCTCAGGCACACCCTTCTTCAATAGACAATCCCAGAGAACAGTTCTGTCCAACGAATCAAAGGCAGCCCTGATATCAAGAAACACTACGATTGTTGGCCTTCGATAAGTATGGCGGTGTTCTAACACTTGGCGGAGGGTGAAGATATGATCAATACATCCTCGACCAGAACGAAACCCAGCCTGCTCCTCGCGAGTCAATCCTTCTCGGGTTCTGAACAATCTACGAAGTATGACGGAAGCCAATAGCTTGGACGCAATCGGAAGTAGACTTATCCTCCGATAGTTGTTACAGGGACAACGTGAACCCTTTTTAAAGATATGGACAACAACCACCAGGCTTCACGGTCCTTACGCAAACTTTTCCCGATTTCATTACGTAGCATCCTTCGTCTGTGGTCAAACTCACGGTCACCCGGAGTAGACCGACGGGCTTCAATGAGTTGTAAGGAACCAGAAGAAACCCAATGCTTGTAAGCGGGACGTTTCGCGAACCCACAACAGACTTTACCCGCCATTTTCATGGCGTCATGCAATTGCAACCAATGCTCAACTATACTTTTCGGTGGAATGGTAGCTAGCCTAGAAGCTAGCTCGGTTCGGTACTTACTAGCAACAGAAGTTGCAGCCTGCTTGCTAACATCAATCCTTTGATGGCGGTCACTTCGTTGTCCACTGAAAAGTAAGGTAAGATTGGCGCAGACCAGAGCATGGTCAGATTCCAGATAGGTACTCCAAAAGGAGCGGCAGTCTTGTACACAACCACGCCAGCGGTAGCTGATCGCGATGTGATCAATCTGTATCCAGGCTTGAGATGTAGAAGGGGGACGCCAGGTGGCACATCGGCGATGACTGTGCCGAAAGTTAGTGCTAGCCAGAAACAGGTTGTGGTCTGTGCATAGTTGCAGTAGACGTTCCCCGTAATCTGTCCTGCGACCAACGAGTCCCCATCGGCCACCTAAACGACTCTCTTCAGTGCCTAGACGCCCGACCTGAGCATTCAAGTCTCCAGCTAGTACTGCAATATCTGTCGAACGCAATTTCTGGAGAAGAACAGTTAACTGGTGGTAGAACTCATCCTTGATTGCATTCGGGCTACAATCTGTCGGGGCATAGGCGGAGATGACGATAAGACATCGTTTCTCACGCCGATTTCTTCTCACTTTGATGGTACTTTCTAATCTAACAGCACATAACCGACTGTTAATGGGGATCCAGTCGACTAGTGCTGCCTCAGCTCTAGCGCTTAGTGCGACACCAACGCCAGCAAGACCAGACGAAGATGCCACAGGGTCCCCGGATAAACGCACATAAAACAAGCTTTTTGAAGCGACAAATGGAGAGCAAACTTGTAGTACTTCACCAGAGTCTTGAATACGGGTCTCGGATAGACAACACACATCAATATTAAGACTTTCCAAAGACATAGCCAGACCTATCTGTTGTCCGACCTGAATAAGTGTGCGAACGTTGAAGGCAGCCAGTTTGAATGGTGCACGTGGTTTCGGAAAAACTGCTTCAGTACTCATATTCGGTGGTAACATACAATTTTCAACCAGGCAGTGACTCGAGAACGTTTAGATAAAGCTGAATTTTCACCATAGACGAGCTGCTGTCTAGGTCGAAACGGATACATAAAGTAGGAATAAGAGAGGGTGAATAAATGACGTGGTAGAGTAATAATAATAATAATAATAATAATAATAATAATAGTACGAGTTATTTCAATGTTAATCAGATAGAAAGGAATATTTTCCATAAGCAAATAGTTCATCATGGTTTTAGTGCGTGGGCTGAGATACTGCCCGAGTGCCCAAACCGAAGCAGGTGGTTTTCTTAGGGGGCCACACCCCGAGCCTTTGACCTAAGGGTCTAGTCCACAAGGCAGTGGAGCATCGTGAGGAGATGCAGTCCCATGGAAGCCGGTGACCAAAAGTTGGTTCATACGCCATTTGTTCCCTCAGGATACTGGGGCCCATGTGCACCATTGAATTGGGATCCGGTTATAGCGCCGGACATTCGCTTTTCGTCCTCTCATTTTCGTAAACAACACCCCCGCCACGAGAAGGCAGTGAGTAGGACTTCCCTGGAAGAGGCTGTATACGCATGGCCGTGTGAGAGTATTTCGAGAGGGAGGGCGAACCCTTCCCGCTCTCGGCCATACCAGGGCATTTGGGGGCCCAAACCCACTGATTACTCAATTAATGTTGATGCTTTCTAGAAAGCAAGGATAATATTAGTAAAAGAGAAGTGTCGTTGAAGGCCTACTATACAATAGCTTTTTGCCTGTTTTTGCTTCGATTTGTTATGTTATTTGATTTTTCATAATGTCTTACAGTGAATTGAGAAATAATGTAATTCACTCTTTCGTATGTTTTTGGCTATGTGGTTGTTTACACGTTGGTGCACCGTACTCCGACTTCAGTATTGTGAGTGAAACTACTTCTATCCCCTTCTTTTCCCTGTCTCACCAGCTAGAGTAAAAACACCAGTCTTGCACATGAAGCTATACAATGTTGATTAATTAATCAAAATACATTAAGTTTTTCCATGATTTATTCATAAAAAATTACTAGAATATTTAAACGAAGTACTTTAAAATATCGTAAAAATGCGTTGAAATTTCGCGAATAGTGTTCACATTGTATAATTTGCTGTGATGGAATTTTAATCTAATTGATACTGATTTCCTTCTCATGAGTTGTAATTTGAGATTATGTATCCCCCTAACAGTTGTGCATGCAAAAATACCTTATACTTATAGGTTGTGAGTTCCCAAGGCACGGCAACTACGTACATGTCTTTGAACTGTGAGCGGTATTTATTACAGGTACTAGTCTTACAAACCTCATGTGGTCAAGTAATATTTTAAACTATTTAAATGTAAACCGAACAGTCACAACTCTACAGTTATTGCTTAATATCATAGACTTGATAAAGCACTGTTTGATTATTCTTCATCACCACTTGAATGGATGTAATTACAGTATTCTTGAAAGTTGATCAATATATATGAATGATACACCGTCATTGTTGATCAAAGCCACATTTCCATCATTCAATCTGTTTTTCAGTCTTTAATTGTTCATTTTAGGCTGTGCAGTCAGTGCGATGATTATGGGATCTGTCATTGGACTGATATTTTTCTACAGATTTTCAGACGAACCTAATGGAAGTAAGGAGCTATTATCAGTAATTTGATTTAGCTTGAATAATTGCAGTTTGCCATAACTATCGATTCATTCGTTTCTATACCTCGTCTGATTACCTTCCCCTCATTTATAGGATATCATGACAGATCTAGTCTGCTGGGTTATTTTTATTAGTAACATAGTGTCTTAATGTAAGATCTCAGAAAAATAATTATAGAACTAGTATAGTTAGTGCTTGTACTCCAAAGCTCGTTAGCTTGACAGTGGTATTAGAAAATTGTGCGCCTGGTTAGCAGCCTCAAGTAGTTGCTCCTTAGGCATTGCTGTCACGCTTACAAGCCGCTAAGACTGGTGATCACCCAGCTTCTTTTACAGATATCTCAAGATTTATCCTTCCTCATTGTTGGTAACCGGGAAGTAGCAACCTCACTTCATTTATAATCAAACCCCAACCTCACTATGCAATATTTCCCCTGTTTCTACTATAAACCATTTTCTGTCTTCAACTTTGATATGTACCGATAGTGCTAACTACTCGAGTTCACAAAATACTATTTCTGATATAAAACCACACTTCAAGCTACATATTGAGGCCTTAAATGTCCAAACATATATCAGATTGGAAACAGGTTTCACTAAGACACTATAATATCGCGCTACTGATGTATACTGTATCTTCTGACCACGTATAAGGGGTTCTGACGTGATCATCCATTTGAAATCACTTAACCAGTATGGATGACTAACATGATAAATCAAAATGAAAACAACACTTAAGCTGGTCTTATGGTGTCCCAAACTAATGAACAAATGACGTTGACCATCTGCTGCAATTATGCTTGGACAGCGGGTTATTATTGGCTCAATAAAAGACTATGATCTCTTGAACCAACGGCTCTACGCTAATGATGACTGACTGGTTCATTAGATACAAATAATCTTATTTCAGCAGTTCTAATATCAAACTGTTGGCATGCAAAATACGTCCCAACTATTAATGTAGGTTGGATAAGCAGTAACTTGATAGTTTCCACCGATTTCCCCAAGTATATTTAGAGAAATATATGCAGTACTCATTATTTTGCACCTGTTTTTAAGCGCTGATACGAAAATAAAGTGCCTCCAAAAATTCATCACATATCTATGGGTATAAGGCATCAGGTCTTGTAGGCGTTAATAATGAACTCATAAAAATTAAAACTTAGTACTTGTCGCTCTATTGTATATTGTACGCCTTATATCCATAATAAGTAATGCTAAAGTGATAAAAGTTATGAATGTCAATAATGGATTAGTTGTCTACAAAAACGTATTTACGAAAACCAACAGTTGAGTTGAATATGTTGATCACAGTCCCAGTTTAGTATAGAAGAAGTTGATTATTTGATGAGCGAATTTTTCGATTGTTAAAATCAATGAATATAATGTTGATCAATAGATGAACACAATATCATGATATGGTTATGGTTGCTCACTAGACTATTTTATTGACTTTGGGCTTCAAATAAATAGAATTCAAAGACAAGACCACTGAGCCAAAATATTAGGTTTATTTCTGTGACCAGTTGAAATGTTTATTTATTTATTTTAACACATAAGTATAGGTACAGGGAGGCACCAAAATACATATGCGCCACACAAAGCTCAATTGATTTGTGTGAGGGCTGTGATACTGCCCGGGTGCCCAAACCGAAGCAGGAGTTGAAATGTTCCTATACAGAATATAAACACAATATAAACATGGTAAAATGTCTTTGAGGGAATTGGCTTGTAGGGCACTCACTGTCCAATCGATTAAAACTTGCTGGGCTAAATCTTCAAGCGTTGTATCACAGTTTGCAAATTATCGGTTTTTATTGCGCATTATTTTCCAGTCATTTAATTTCAGATTAAAATATATTTCCATAGTTCGAATGGCGAACCGTGTCGCGTATAAGATAGCTATTCATTGCGAGCAATGGATGGGGTTTGCGTAATATCCTGAATTGATCGAAGTTAAACATTAACACTGTCAGATGCCAGCTCAGTGGTCTAGACCCGACCGTTGTTGCTACCTTGACGTAGTAATCGGGCTTGCCTATCGTGATAAAGCAACTGAGCTATACTGGCTGGAACAACCGTTTCCAAGGTCCTACCATGCCAGACAGGTCGGTTGAAGAGCTGTAAGAGTAAAAGCAACAAATCCAAGGTCCGAAGGCGAAGTCGTACTGCTGACTATACAGAGGTGTGACAGCAGTAAGGTGTTTCCTTCAGACAACTAGCATAACAGCGATGCTGCCTTCCCACAAAGAGGGCTGGGGTTAGAAAAGGTCGACCCTAAAAATGCCGTCTCCGGTGATAAGGTCTCAACAAGTACGGAGCTAACACAAAAACCACCAATAAAAAGGTCGTGTGTGACCGGCCTCAAGCAGCTGTATCTTGGGCACTGCGGTCACACTCTCAGGTCACTATGACCACCCCTAATCCAATTTCCTTTTCAGGTACCTCCAGACTCAGTGGTATAGAAGTTCAGCGTTCGTACAAGAAACCGAAGGTTCTTGGTTTAGTTACCGGATACACGCTGCTGAGGAGTCTTACAGTAGCATGAAACGACTGTCTAGTACTTCCAGGTTTTCAATGGTAGCCTATAAAAATTCTACAATTCTCACGAATCCTCCCATGCTATTGAAATATTTTTCTTTTTTTGGTCATTCTATTTATAGCTTACCTTATTTTAATAGCGAGTGCTTTGTTGCCAGCTTTCTTCGCATTGTCTGTGTTTGTAATACTGTGGTGGCGTTACGTTCGTCCTACTTTGTACTACCAACGTATGTTTGGACAAGGTCCACTGGTGAAGGTAGAAAATTCTACAACTGTTCTTGTTAACGAACCGTGGAATTCAGATGTGTTAGATAACAGCTATCAAAATGTTGATGCCCCTTTTGGATCGTCATCACAGACTGAACATACACCAATTAATACTATTAATGTTTTGGCTCCAGTTAATGAGGAGGAGTCCAGTATTTCAGCATTACAGCTGTGTAACGATGTAGTGTATCAACCTTCTCCAACTCATTCTGGTGCATATGTTTCAAATGAACAGGGTGCTAGTAATGACAATGAAGATTACACTTGTGTTCGAATTTGTGGCATTCAGCTGTGTCGAAGGTCGAGAAGTTCACAAAAATCTTCAAAATCCATGGCACGTCCACTTAAACCCTTCACCCTAAGGCCTCGTCGCTTTGCTCGTTTACTTCCCGTCTTGCCGACTGTATTTATTCTAATCGGTTATCTCTCAATCTCTCTTGGTACGTTTTGGGAATTTTACTAGTAAATTTATTCTGTCACTTATTTTTCCATAGGATAAGTATTTAAAATTGACAGAACTTTATCTATTGTCTATTTTGCCATATATGTATACGTGTATGATATTCATTTAATTACTGAAATTTTTGGAGTAAAAACGGAATTTCATGGTATTTGTTTGTTTAGGTATTACATCGTTAACACTAAAGTAAGATTGATTGGTTGTTTAGTTATCAAAACACTCGACTTTAAACCATCGGCTCACGTCGAACCTCGCTGTGCTTAGTTTATGTTGGTCATCCACGTAGCTAAACTATTCCATGGGTAAAAATTTATGGCTCATATCTATGTACATAAATATGTAATGAGTTACTAAGTTACTTTAGTTATCCAGGAATGCCCCTAAATGCCCTGGTACGGTATAGAGTGGGGAGAGTCAGCACTCTCCCGAAATGCTCTTACATGGACACGCATATACAATCACTACCAGGGAAGTCCTACTCACTGCCTTCTCGCGGAGAGGTGTTTACGAAATTGAGAGGACGATGTCTGACGCTTTACCCGGGTTGATGGACGCGGTGGGTTCACCCAGTGGAGTTGGAAAACCCTGATTCCAAACCATTAGTGTACATGGGCTCCAGTATCCTGAGGGAACAATAGGCGTATGAACCTATTATTCATCACCGGCTACTATGGGAATTCATCTCCTAACCTTACTTCACTGCCCTGTGGATTAGACTTGTAGGTCTAAGACTTTTGGTGTGGTTCCCTAAGAAAACCACCTGCTTTGGTTTGGACGTTCGGGCAGTATCATAGCCCTCACATAAATCGAATGAAGTGAGGAGTGTATGTATTGGGTGTCCCCTTGTACCAATGTTTGTGTTTTAATAAATAAATAAATTGAGAACAGAGCTTAAAATACCACAGTGGTATCAAATTCATTTTATTTCATTGTTTGACTTTGATACTTCTGTTTCAGTCAGTCAGCTACAACGTAGGACCAGGCACCTATGTACATCGGTCCAAGTTGCCACATCTCATTACCATAACAAGATGAACACGGAATTCATAGAAGTAGTTACTTCAGTGGTAATAATATGTAAAAGGAAGATTATGTATAAGGATATAGTGCAGGAAGAGAGAATTAGAAAGAAAGGTATAAAGTAATTTTAATCTCACACTTTAAGGGAAGACGAAGAGTGTATACACCTACGCCGTCGTGACCAATTCTGAGCCATGTAACCCAGGGTCTCTAATCATTACGACAGCCGCGCGGACACCAAGTAGTCTGTATCTACCAACATGGCTTAGATTAGAAGTTAGTGACTTCAAGGACTGATGCTATGTTTTGGTTTGGCCGCCCTTAAATTTCTTTCAACCATCCCCAACACTAGTCGGTATTGTGCGTCGTAGTAATCGGTGTTCTAGTACATTTAACACGTGGCAGAACCATCTCAGTCGATGAAGATTCATAACCTCATCAACTGACTTATCATCGTTCCCTAATACCCTGCGTCTAACCGCACCATTACTTACCCGATGATCCCAGCAATATTTCTAAGACATCTGTGTTCAAATACGATAGTCACGCGGACCCCAACCAGGTAGTCTGCATCTACCAACATGGCTCAGACCAGAAGTTAGTGACTTCAAGCACTGATGCCACGTTTTGGTTTGGCCGCCCTTAAATTTCTTTCAACCATCCCCAACACTAGTCGGTATTGTGCGTCGTAGTAATCGGTGTTCTAGTACATTTAACACGTGGCAGAACCATCTCAGTCGATGAAGATTCATAACCTCATCAACTGACTTATCATCGTTCCCTAATACCCTGCGTCTAACCGCACTATTACTTACCCGATGATCCCAGCAATATTTCTAAGACATCTGTGTTCAAATACTAGTAACTTACAAGTATCTTGTACTCTTAATGGCCATGTTTCGCAGCCGTATAGTAGAACGGAGCGGTCTGCCACACAGTATACCCGTTCCTTAATTGATAGACGGATGTCTCGCCTTCGCCATAGATGACGTAAGTTGGCAAAGGCCAAACGAGCTTTTCGAATCCGTGCTGAGATTTCGTCAGACACCAACCCATTAGGGCTGATCAGACTTCCAAGATAAGTGAAGTTGTCAACGCGTTCGACTACTTCACCCCCTATCCTTAGTTCAGGTGTTGATGCAGACCAGTCCTGAAGCAACAACTTGCATTTAGAGGGAGAAAAGCGCATCCCAAACATTCTAGCATTGTTGCTCAGTGCTACCAAAAGACTCTGCATTTCATCAGCGTCTTCACCAAACAGGACTATGTCATCTGCGTATTCTAAGTCAATAAGTGAACCTCCTGGTAGGAGATCAATGCCCGAGAATTCAGCCGACGAGAACGTTATTTCCAGCAGTAGGCTTATGATGGAATGAAACAAAAATGGAGATGTTTGACAGCCTTGTCGGATACCACTTGAGGATGTAAAATCAGATGACAGTTCGCCATAAGCTCTGACTGGACTAGTAGTGTTCGAGTAAAGAGCCTTCATAAGGTTTATGTGCTTCCGAGGTACGCCTTTCAATGACAGACACTGCCACACAACCTCGCGCTCTACAGAGTCAAATGCTACTTTTAAGTCAAGGAAGACCACCATTTTCGGGCGCCGATAAGTATGCCTGTGTTCTAGAACCTGACGAATGGTGAACATGTGTTTTATGCATCCACGACTAGGTCTGAAGCCAGCTTGATTCTCTAGTGTTTGCAGTTCACGAGTCTTAGATAGGCGCCTGATGATTATTGAAGCTAGTATTTTAGATGCTATGTTAGTCAAAATAATCCCTCTATGGTTGTCACAGAATGATTTTGACCCTTTCTTATATATTGGGACGATGAGTAATTGTGACCAGTTAGATGGGATAACGTCCAAGTTCCAGATTTTAGCTAAAATATTAGTCAACCTAGTCGTTAAAATTGGATCACTATCTTTAAAGACCTCTGGAGCCAATCCATCTGGACCAACTGCCCTTCCTCGTTTTAGATTAGCTATAGCCTTTTGAACTTAAGCTAGAATTGGAGGACCTACTTCAATGTTCTGTTCACACTGTCTGGGAATGGTGGGTATTTGTAGAGTAGCTGAAGGCCAACTGAACTGCTCTTTTAATTGTTCCGCACATCGTTTTAGGCGTCTGCGCTGAGAGCAGATAAGTGTCGTCTTTTTCTGAGACTTTCACTTACACTTAACTTATTATTTCCAGTTTCTTTTCTTAGTTTGAAGAACTATCCTATGTTATCTACAGCCGCCATCTTTTCTATTTTTTTTGCTTCGTTGTACATCACTACTCACGGTCGTTCCTTAGACTTTTGCTTAACCTAGATCTGATTTGTTTCCGCTCCTCATCGTGTTCAGAGCCTGATGGGATGAGTTTACGAGAATCTATCATTGCAATAGACTTAGAAGGAATCCATTGGTTTTTTTGTGACCCATTGGTTTAAATCACTAACAGATGTGACTGCTGTTTTCACAGCTGATTGTATATCTTTCCAAGCAACATCTGGGTCAGCCTCGTTTTCAGAACTACCTAAGTGTGACCTCAATTGTTCCTGGGACCTACTTTTGGTTTTCTCGTTACTCAGTTCAATCCTAATGGGTCTTCTTAGTATGGCTTTTCTGCGTCCAGTATTAGGACATGGTCGGAGTCCAAGCAGGTACTCCAGAATGAGAGACAATCTTCTATCGACCCTCTCCAACGATGACTGATGGCAATATGGTCCATTTGAGTCCATCGTTGGTTTGGTGCAGAGGGTCGCCATGTTAGACGATGTCTCTCTTTATGCTTAAAATTTGTGTTTGCTAAAAATAAACGATTGTCTGAACACAGTTGCAGCAGACGATCACCATTATCTGTTCGCTGAGCCGAAATAGTAAAATACCCAAATAAATATCTTTCTGTTTGGTTTAATCTTCCTACCTGGGCATTAAATTCACCTGCTACGAGTACTATGTTTGAGCGTCCAGCTTTCTGAAAAATTTCAGAAAGCATTCTGTAAAGGTCATCTTTCACTTCATCCGGGCTGCAGTCAGTGGGAACGTAGGCAGAAACGACGAAAAAGCAACTACGTGTGTCCCTATCCTTCCGAGAATTTACGGAGTCGTTTAACCGAACAGCGCATAGACGACTATTAACGGGATCCACTCTAATACCGCTTGTTCCGCCCTCATGCTGACTGTTATGCCTCCACCTGCCAGTCCACAAGAACTAGCCATCGGGTCGCCAGATACACGGAGGGTGTATATCGTTGGCTCTCCGTTTTGCCGAGGTGAGGTCAAGTGAATGACCACACTAGGGTAGTGTATGTGTTTCGGAGTCACAGCATACATCAATGGTACGAGGAGACCTGCTGACCAATTTTACATAGTGTGCGTACGTTGAAGGTCCTAATGTGTAGTTTTGAGCGAGGTTTCAGTAAACCTGGGACAGTGTTTCGCGCACTAGAATCATTTGCTATGATGACGCTTGAGGAGGAATCCGGAAAAGGGAGTTTAGTGTAGAAAGTCAATGTAGGAGGAATAATAAAAGTATTTGACCACAGATGCCTTAGAAATATTGCTGGGATCATCGGGTAAGCAATAGTAATGTTAGACGCAGGGTATTAGGGAATGATGGTAAATCAGTTGATGAGGTTATGAATCTTCATCGACTGAGAGGATTGGGCCACGCAGTGCGTATGCCTGAACACCGACTACCACGACGCGCAATTCTCACTGGTGTTAGAGATAATTGGAAGAAAGTTAGGGGCGGCCAAACCAAAACGTGGCATCAGTGCCTGAAGACACTAACTTCTGGGCTGAGCCATGTTGTTAGATGCAGACTGCCTGGTTGGGGTCCGCGTGACTATCGTAACCAATGGTTTGACACTCTTGGTGACTCTTGAGCGCTGTTAGAGGTATGAGGGCGGTTATCACTTCCCGGTTGCCCACACCGTGGAGGGGTTGTTCTGGAGGCTTCTGAACTGGAAATTGGATTAGGGGTGGTCATAGTGACCTGAGAGCGTGACCGCAGTGCCCAAGATACAGCTGCTTGAGGCCGGTCACACACGACCTTTTTATTGGTGGTTTTTGTGTTAGCTCCGTACTTGTTGAGACCTTATCACCGGAGACGGCATTTTTAGGGTCGACCTTTTCTAACCCCAGCCCTCTTTGTGGGAAGGCAGCATCGCTGTTATGCTAGTTGTCTGAAGGAAACACCTTACTGCTGTCACACCTCTGTATAGTCAGCAGTACGACTTCGCCTTCGGACCTTGGATTTGTTGCTTTTAGTCTTACAGCTCTTCAACCGACCTGTCTGGCATGGTAGGACCTTGAGGAACGGTTGTTCCAGCCAGTATAGCTCAGTTGCTTTATCACGATAGGCAAGCCCGACCACCACGTCAAGGTAGTAGCAACGGTCGGAATACTTCTATTTAATAATATACTAGATAGGTTGACATGAATTATAGGGTGAATGATGGGGTACACATGTAAGTCTTGTACCCATCTATTGTAAGGTGCAGTAAACGCTTTTGGTGATTTTGACTTAATCGCATGTGCTTCAGAAATAAACTAAAATTCTCTGCAACCACTGAAATTTTTTCGGATTCTGTGAGAGATACAGGAGTTATTATGAGAAACTGCACTCCCCTTGTCGTCTGAATTTTTGATATTCGAATGTTTTGTAGGTCGTCTGTTAGTCTGATTGAAAAACTAACAGTTAGATAATAGCCGTTCTATTATATGCAAGTACTGTCACGACAGTCTAGGGTAGTTGCATTTGTCTTCCATATGCTTCAATTCATAATAACTCAATAACTTCGATAGATATGGTATTTTAGGACTAGTAACTATTTATGTATACTTTTTGATTACTTTAGAGAGTCCATCACTCCACTTATCTTGGAAGTCTCATCACCCTTGATGGGTTTGTTGTCTTAAGAAATCTCAATTGGTATCCACCAATTTGCGTGACTTATGGCCTAGGCAGAATATTCGTGTGCTGACTGAAGGCTGAGTTTACTGTACAGCAGTTCTCTCCTTTCAACTTTATGTCTGGGAAACATTACTTTTTGAAATCCAGGAGATTCATAGATTACTAGTGTTGGATTATAGATGCTGTCGAAGCATTACTCGTTTTTGTTGAGACTGTCGAGTTAGTAATTCTGCGGTTAAACGCAGAGTACTGGGTAAGAATGACAAATCGATTGATAAGGAGTTCAGTCTGTGGATTAAGGTGGTTAAGATATGTATTACTTTGCATATGCTTGACTGACTTGATTACTCTTACTGAGCAATATGCCTCTTATTGGTTTTGATTCATATTTTGTGTACTTAAGTGAGTTTTAATTATCGATATTTCAACCACAATACTCTAGTTTATACGCATATATATATATATATATATATATATATATATATATATATATATGCAATTACTCTTTTTCTTCAGATCGTCCTCTAAAGTTGGACAAATCTTCGGTTTCTTTCTTTGTGTTCTGTATAATAATGTCAGGATTATTGCTTGGTTTGCTGAGTATCTTCAAAAATTTCGTAAGTTTTTTCCTAGTTCAATTATAAATTATTTAGAAAACTTGATAGAGTTTAATAAATAATAACGTTTAGGTTAAGGATTGATAGATAAATAATGCATCTTTAGTAATTAATCGCTGATATTGAGATCTTAGTATCTCAAACAAAGAACGTCTACCTCTGTCCTCTGCATATAACCCTAGTTAGTAGTAGAAACAAAAGGCATATCATTAACTTGAAAATTTAATTAGTCCATAGTAAGGACGACATAGTCCTCCAGTTGTGCGTAAATGTATTTACAATGTGCGTGAAAATGGAACATTAAAATAATACTCAAAGCATAAGCGGTAGGATCACAAGATATCAGGCTCATTAGCAGAGGAAATGAAAGGTATAGTGGAGAGACTTGGACAAAAGTACAGAAATTAAGTTTATAAAATGTTATTCAAAGGTAATCATAAAAAGTTTTTATTGGAGTGTGAAACGAACAGTATTAACGGCTGTTAGGATTTCTTATTACATATATTAGTGTATTAATGTTTTTTCTTAAATTTTAACATCTCAGTTGCTCAAATATCATGTTGCGTATAAATCCTTAAGAATAAGAAAAACGGTGAAGTGGATCTTTATTCACACCTTTTCATAGTGATCTCCTTCAGTTTTTTTTCCGTAATTCTCATTCTATTGGTTAGTGCTATGAAGACTAGTCTTAGAAACGATTTTAACGTAGATCAGTTTCCTCGACTGCCTTTTACATAACTGACGTACACATTTGGCATGGAGCGGTGAATTAGTAATTAAGCCGTTCGTCTTTCTAGGTTCAAGCCCCACCCACCTACTTCAGTTTCGGGAACCGAGTAGTATAATTGGCACTCACACCCAAGTAAGTACCTTGTAAATGAGTTGATTTTAATTTTCTAAAGAAGTCCAGTAGTATGAGAATAACTTGAAAGTACTAAATTCTTATTAATTCACTTCGTTGTCATTTGAGTATAATTTACGTTGGTTATTTTTTTCACAGATAAGGTATACAACTACACTCTCTAGTTGCTACATTTCGAATTTTAATAATTGTAAGCTGGAATTATGAACAGATTTAGTTTAATCAATTTATCACAAATTATAACACTTTTGTATTTATTGCGTTAAAACTTCCTTTTTGTGAGTTTTAGGAAACATTTCAAACAACTTTTTATAATATCCGTATATTATAATAGATAGTAAGTGTATTAGTTTTTACGTCTGCAAGATTTTTGTATAGAATCATTCATCTTATTCACAAATGGGATCTCCGGAAACGGACTCACTCAGTTTTATTCTTTACAAGTTGGTATTTTAGTCTAAGTTACATTGTGCGCTACCAAATTTGCAATTTAGGTTAATGTTTTACTTCAGATTTACGTAGGTGCTTAAAAGGTTGCTTTTTCAGGGAAGTGATTGTTTGTCTTGGTACTCTTGAAAATTAGTTTTTGACTTACAGATGGTCATTATTTTGAATTCTCACCACATGATTCGTTTTAGCAATGATAAACATGGTTATCTGGATAATTGTATAAACATTTGTATATAGTAAACATACTGTTCCTTCAAGTACTTGTTTCAGTTGTGCTTTTTGTTTTAGTGTTTCAGTCAGTCAGCTGCAACGTAGGACCAGGCACGTATATGCATCGGTCCAAGTTGCCATACCGCATTAGCACAACAAGATGAACACCGGATTCATAGGAGTAGTTAATTCAGTGGTGGTAATATATAGAAGAAAGATTGTGTATAAGGAGATAGTAAAGGAAGAAAGAATTAGTTCCTAGACAGCTATGAAGCGATTTTAATCTCTTAATTTAAGGAAGACAGAGAGTGTATACACCGACGCCATTGTGATCGATTCTGAGCCATGTAACCCAGGGTCTCTAATCATTACGACAGCCGCGCGGACACCAAGTAGTCTGTATCTACCAACATGGCTTAGATTAGAAGTTAGTGACTTCAAGGACTGATGCTATGTTTTGGTTTGGCCGCCCTTAAATTTCTTTCAACCATCCCCAACACTAGTCGGTATTGTGCGTCGTAGTAATCGGTGTTCTAGTACATTTAACACGTGGCAGAACCATCTCAGTCGATGAAGATTCATAACCTCATCAACTGACTTATCATCGTTCCCTAATACCCTGCGTCTAACCGCACTATTACTTACCCGATGATCCCAGCAATATTTCTAAGACATCTGTGTTCAAATACTAGTAACTTACGAGTATCTTGTACTCTTAATGGCCATGTTTCGCAGCCGTATAGTAGAACGGAGCGAACTGCCGCACAGTATACCCGTTCCTTAATTGATAGACGGATGTCTCGCCTTCGCCATAGATGACGTAAGTTGGCAAAGGCCAAACGAGCTTTTCGAATCCATGCTGAGATTTCGTCAACGCGTTCGACTACTTCACTCTCTATCCTTAGTTCAGGTGTTGATGCAGACCAATCCTGGAGTAACAATTTGCATTTAGAGTGGGAGAAGCGCATCTCAAACATTCTGTCATTGCTGCTCAGTGCTATCAAAAAACTCTGCATTTCATCAGCGTCTTCACCAAACAGGACTATGTCATCTGCGTATTCTAAGTCAATAAGTGGACCTCCTGGTAGGAGATCAATACCCGAGAAGTCAGTCGATGAGAGCGTTATTTCCATCAGTAGATCTACGATAAAGTTAAACAAAAAAGGAGAAAGTGGACAGCCTTGACGGACGCCACTTGAGGTTGCAAAAGCAGATGACAGTTCGCCATAGGCTCTGACCCGACTAGTAGTGTTCGAGTAAAGAGCCTTCACAAGGTTTATGTACTTCTGAGGTACGCCTTTCAATGACAGACACTGCCACAGAACCTCTCGGTTTACGGAGTCAAACGCTGCTTTTAAGTCAAGGAATACCACCATTGTCGGACGCCGATAAGTATGCCTGTGTTCTAGAACCTGACGAATGGTGAATATGTGGTCGATGCAGCCACGACCAGGTCTGAAGCCAGCCTGATTTTCACGTGTTTGCAGTTCACGAGTCTTAGTTAGGCGTCCGAAAATTATCGAAGCTAGTATTTTAGATACTATATTAGTCAAAATAATCCCTCTGTGGTTGTCACAGAATGATTTTGACCCTTTCTTATATATTGGGACGATAAGTGATTGTGACCAGTTAGATGGGATAACGTCCAAGTTCCAGATTTTAGCTAAAATATTAGTCAACCTAATCGCTAAAACTAGACCACCATCCTTAAAGACCTCTGGGGCCAATTCATCTAGACCAGCTGCCCTTCCTCGTTTCAGATTAGCTATAGCCTTTTGAACTTCAGCTAGATTTGGGGGACCTACTTTAATGTTCCATTCACACTGTCTGGGAATAGAGGGTAGTTGTAGAGTAGCTGAAGGCCAGCTAAACTGCTCTTTAAAGTGTTCCGCCCATCGTTCTAAGCGTCTGGACTGGTAGCAGATGAGAGTGTTGTCTTTTTCCGAAATAGTCTGACTTACACTTGATTTATTAATTCCAGTTTCTTTTATTAGTCTGTAGAGTTGTCTTGTGTTCCCTATAGCCGCCGCCTTTTCCATCTCTTTTGCTTTCGTTGCCCACCACTGCTCACGATCATTCCTTAGACTTTTGCTTAATCTAGATTTGATTTCTTTACGCTCTTGATCGTATTCAAAACCTGATGGGATGAGTTTGCGAGAATCTATCAGTGCAATAGACCTTGACGAAATCCATTGGTTCTTTGTAACCATTTGGTTTAAATCACTGGTAGATGTCACTGCTGTTTCCAAAGCTGCTTGTATAACTTTCCAAGCAACATCTGGGTCAGTCTCGTTTTCAGAACTACCTAAGTGTGACCTCAGTTGTTCCTGGAACCCACTTTTGGCTTTCTCATTACTCAATTCGGTTCTAATGAGTCTTTTTTGTGTGGCTCTTTTGCGTCCAGTGAGGCGCAAGCAGATGCGTGCTCGTACTAGGGCATGATCAGAGTCCAAGCAGGTACCCCAGAATGAGCGACAATCTTCTATTGACCCTCTCCAACGATGACTGATGGCAATATGGCCTATTTGAGTCCATCGTTGGTTTGGTGCAGGGGGTCGCCATGTTAGGCGATGTCTCTCCTTATGCTTAAAATTTGTGTTTGCTAAAAATAAACGATTGTCTGAGCACAGTTGCAGCAGACGATCACCATTATCTGTTCGCTGTGCCGGAATACTAAAATACCCACCTAAATGTTTTTCTGTTTTGTTTAAGCTACCTACCTGGGCATTAAAGTCACCTGCTACGAGTACTATGTCTGAACGTTTAGCTTTCTGAAGAAGTTCAGACAGTTTTCTGTAAAATTCATCTTTCACTTCATCCGAACTGCAGTCAGTGGGAGCGTAGGCAGAAACGACGAAAAGGCGACGACGTGTGTCCCTATCCTTTCGAGTTCTTACGGAGCCGTTTAGCCGAACAGCGCATAGACGACTATTAACGGGGATCCACTCTAATACCGCTTGTTCCGCCCTCATGCTTAGTGCTATGCCTACACCTGCCAGTCCACAAGAACTAGCCATCGGGTCGCCAGATACACGGAGGGTGTATATCGTTGGCTCTCCATTTTGCCGAGGTGAGGTCAAGTGAATGACCACACTAGGGTCGTGTATGTGTTTCGGAGTCACAGCATACATCAATCGTACGAGATTCTAAGGTTTTAGCCAAGGAAGCCTGCTGACCGATTTGGCATAGTGTGCGTACGTTCAAGGCTTCAATGTGTAGTTTGGAGCGGGGTTTCAGTAGACCTGGGACAGTGTTTTGCACACTAGAATCGTTGGCTGTGGTGACACTTGAGGAAGCTAAAAGAGGGAGTTTAGATTTGAAAGTCGATGTAAGAGGAATAATAGGAATTGAAGAGGTAGGTTGATTATGAATACAGTGGTCTTGAGTGCTGTTAGAGGTATGAGGGCAGTTATCACTTCTCGGTTGCCCACACCGTGGAAGGGTTCTTCTGGAGGTACCTGAAAAGGTAATTGGATTAGAAGTGGTCATAGTGACCTGAGAGCGTGACCGCAGTGCCCAAGGGACAGCTGCATGAGGTCGGTCACACACGACCTTTTTATGAGTAGTTTTAGTGTTAGCTCCGTACTTGTTGAGACCTTACCGCCGGAGACGGATATCCGTGGGATAAGGCGAGGTTTGCATTTTTAGGGTCGACCTTTTCTAACCCTACCCCTCCTTGTGGGAAGGCAGCATCGCTGTCATGCTGGTTGTCTGAAGGAAACACCTTACTGCTGTCACACCTCTGTATAGTCAGCAGTACGACTTCGCCTTCGGACCTTGGTTTTGTTGCTTTTAGTCTTACAGCTCTTCAACCGACCTGTCTGGCATGGTAGGACCTTGAGGAACGGTTGTTCCGTCCGGTATAGCTCAGTTGCTTCATCACGATAGGCAAGCCCGACCACCACGTCAATGTAGCAACAACGGTCAGGTGTTTCAAATAAGTTCTTTAAAATCGGAATATGTAGGTTTTGATTTTAAGAATATACGTCATTGTCTGTTATCTCAACGGTATTTTTAAGATCAATCCAAATGTGTATACTAAATTTTTCTTAATTTCCAGGCATTCGGTATTTCAACCGCTCTCCTTGGTTTTTACGTTACACTATGCTGTGCAAGTTTTTTTCTCATACCAAGCTGTTTATTACCTCACATTGTAATTGAATATTTCTTGATGTTAACCTGTTTTGATATAAGACTACGTACTCTACGCATTCAATTCTATGGTCAATATGGTAATTCTTAAATATTTATTTTCATAATTCCATGTTCATTTCTGCACATTTTCTACCTTAATCAGATCAAGTTTGTTTAAGATTAGTTTGGTTCTTTGAAAAAAAAAAACGAGATGTAAGGAAGTTGATGAAACTTGGTAATGAATTATTTTAATTTCCAGATTATCAGCCTATTTTTCTTATTGGTGAAGCGTAGTCTTTACAGTGACGAATTTTCAAAATGATATGAATTGTTAACTGAAGTTGCGTGATTCTATTGGTTTATAACCGTTTCCATTGTATCTTTTGCATTAGTTTCTGTTCGTAATTTTAAAAGGTTAGTTATTTTGCGGAATAGAATTTTTCTTTATTTGGATCCATTTTTCAGCCTTATAATAACTGAGAATTTTGTATATTTGAAATGATTTTAATTATAGTTGATTATTTATTGTCTCTGCTGAATATACGACCATATTTATTTTCTTGCATAAATGAGAAACTTGTTTTCTTGTCGTCATTCTTAAATAACTTTTATGAGTAATTCATCTTAAATAATACCAGTTAATGAACGCTCATGATGACATCATACCACAACTCAAACCAATGTAGGTAAAGTGGTTTTTATGTCATCTAAATGATGGATTAATGAATCTATTCACCTCAGTTCTATGTAACCGGGAATGTTGGTTATTATAGATATACTATAAAAATATTAACATCGTTGGCGATATAAACTCTACAAAGGTCAAGTTTATGTCGTGGTCTGGGAAGTTTTTTGTAGTGTGACTGAATTTTAAAACTGGTTTAGAAATAACCTATATATATATATATTTAGCTCCAATAATAGTAGTACTAAGGATTATACTGGTATTAATGATGATTAGTGTAATAACCATTATTTCCTAATTGTTTGGTAAAAATTCATAAATTTTGTTTCTAGATGTTATTGTTGTCGTAATATGGTTTGTTTGCAGTATATGCTTTGGCTCACTAGCGTTGTGTTTGATCCGTTTACAAGATGCACGTGAATTATCTGAAGTTCAAAATTACCATACATCAAACTCAAAACTTCCATACACAAATACTAATGCACACACCCCTAGCAATAGCCTTTCATTATTGGGAGAGATTAGACCAAGTTCACAAGCTTCATGTTATGTACCTCGAATGTTTCCTGTGCCAAGTTTATCATCCAATGCAAATTCTGCATCCAGTTTGTATAATTTGCTTTCATCTCCCAAGGTATACAATAAAATAGATTCGGAAGGTTCCATGAACTACCCTGTGCCCGTTGATTATTGTCGTCCATCTAATCAGTCTTCTTCAAGAGTTTCAACGGAAAAGCAACCATTATTACAGGGGTAAGTAAGCTATTCTAAGTAGTTACTAAGGTTAGATTATTCTACTGGCACACATATAGAAGAAAACCACTGAGGATACATCTTAAATTTAGCGTATGAGAATAACGTTTTAATGCTCGTGCTATCACGGGATCATACTCCATTTTTCTTGAAAATATGATTCTCTCTTCTATTATTTCAAGATCATGAGATGTTAGATTTTGAACTGTCAACCTAGAAAAATTCAGTGAATCAGTCCTAAACGTGTTTATGGGAACATTAATTTATCCAGTTTTTAAAAATGGTTTTATGGGAACAGGGATGAAGAACTAAATCATTTCAAAACATACATTGTGCAAAAATATGCATATAACGATTTCCACACAATCCCTTCTGATAATATAACGATTTGTTAAATTTTTCGGAAAATCATTTCTAATCGGTTTAAAATTGAAAAACGTTCCTGTAGAAAGTCAGGAAATAAATAAATTTGACCATGTAAGCTGCCATAATCTTGCAATATAATTATTTATTCCAAAGTCTATATTTTTTAATTTTTACACAAAGTATATCATTTAATTATTCTTTAGTTGGATCTTTTTTTATAGGTCTTTTTACAACAAGTATGGTGGTCTAATGGGTACGGGTACTGGTCATCCACCTTTATTGCCCTTAAGTAGAGTTCAGCTGGCTGCCGCCTCACAGTCTTTACCGTTCAGTTCGTCATCATGTGTAAATATCACAGCGAAATCGGCACAATTCGATGTTGAGGAAAATTAAGTCAAAACTAACTCTTCTATAACTTCTACTCAGTGTAAATAATAATCATAAAATTATAACTAAGTTCATCTTGCCTAAAATGTCTATCTTTATCAATTTTTCCCACATTTTATCTAGATTTCTCCGCGGTATTTATTAACCATCGTGTTATTTTAAGTCTGAATATTGTTTTCGAGCGTTTATTTTACTTGGTATTTAAATAAAATATTATTATTATATACTCTGTATTCATCAATGTCTTTCAATCATTTATGGATTGTGATCCATACGTTGCTCTTCACAACTGCCTATAACAACCTTACATTTTAATTGGTTACTTATTATATCCGATACTAGTAGCATAACATTGACAAACTTAAATTACTATATATTTTAACTTACCTGTCCTCAATTGTATTGTATAATTAATGTGTTCACAGATACTTTAACTATTTTAATTGCAGTTTTTAACTGTATTTCAGGACATTGACATATTCTATGTAATACCGGGATTCAATATTGATGCTCAAATCTAAGATTTCTATGAAAAATATAGTGTTTGAGTGATACCCTTCATAATGCGACCTTTTCTAAAATCAAATTGAGCAACGTGTTAACTTAGGATTAAAGTAGATTGCCTTTAATTCCAGTGAATACAAAAATAAACGATGCTCTCATATGTTCTATACCTTATTAGAAGCATTGATTTTGTGTGTTTTAATGTTTGGTTGGTTTACAAGTCGCCGGCTAAGAATTGTCGGATTAGTTCTTTCAGGATCCATTGTTTGAGTTTGATCACAAAAGTATATTATCAATTGGTACAACTCAATAATTGACCCACCATAAAGTTTTACGTTGTGCTAAATTTAACCAAGTAACTTACTTTACTTACGTCTGTTACCCCTCATGGAGGAGCACAGGCCGCTCTCCATCATTTTCCAACCGACTCTGTCCTAGACAATCCTTTCCAGTTTCAATTAATCCTTTTCATGTTTGCTTTCAATTCTCGGCCCATTGTGTTCTTTGGCCTTCCTCTTTTTTGTTCCCCTTCAGGATTCGAAGTTAGCGCTTGTTTCCTGATTCGGCTTGATGATTTCCCAATATGTATCCTATCCACTTCCTAATTTCCTCCTCATTTGGAAGTTGGTTTGTTCTTTTCCACACTAGGCTGTTGTTGATGGTATCCAGTCAACGGACATTCCGTATGTTGCTTTGACAATTGCTTATAAATACTTGTACACTTTCGATGATGGTTGTAATAGTTCTCGAAGTTCGAGCTCTATGCAGTAGAACTGTGTTGACGCTTGTTTCAAAGATTCTGACTTTGATATTGATTGACAGTTGTTTTGAGTTCCGTACGTTTTCAACTGTCGGAATGCTTTCTTCTTGTGCCAATCCTTGCATTTACGTCTGCATCGGATCGTCCTCCTTCATAATGCTTCCCAGGTACGTGAAACATTCCACCTCTTTCAGAGTTTCTCCATCAAGTGAGATTGGGTTGATGCTCTCCCTATTGTACATTCGGATCTTGCTTTTTCCTTTGAGAATATTGAGGCCTACTGATATAGAGTCTGCTGCTACTATGTTTGTCTTGACCTGCATTTGCTGGTGTGTATGAGGTAGAAGAGCTATGTCATTTGTGAAGTTCAAATGTTCTAATTGATTCTGAGCTGTCCATTGTATTCCACGCTTTCTCTCAGATGTTGATGTCTTCATAATTCAGTCGACCATCAGAAGAAAGAAAAGGGGTGAGATTAAACAACCTTGTGTGACTCCGGCCCTCACTTAGAATTCTTCTGTCACCTGTCTTCCATTCACGACTTTGCATTGTAGTCCGTCGTATGTATTCCGGATGATGTTGACGATTTTCTCAGGTATACCGTAGTGTCGAAGAAGTTCCCATAAGCTCCTCCTATCCACACTAAAATGCTTTCTCATAATTAAGGAAGTTGATATATAGTGACAAGTGTCACTGAACTGATTGTTCAAAGGTGATCCGTAGTGTCGCAATTTGGTCTTTGCACGACTGATTGTTACGGAATCCAGCCTGTTGATCTCGAAGTTGGGCGTCTATTGTATCCTTCATTCGATCCAACAACACTTGAAAGCGTTTCCTGGTACCAATAGTAGTGTGATGCCTCTGTAGTTCTCACATGTGCTCAGATCTTTGGAAGGTTGGTGAGATATCCAGTCTGTTTCTACTTGTTCTTCTATTGTTATAATAGTACTAAAAACAAAGTAGACTTCATTCTATATATTTTCATAACCGTTGTCGCCCATTCCAATTTTAGGGTTTAGATTTCCCATCAGGATTATCAGGTCCTTTCATAGGCACTTCACTATGATCGGTTGCAGCCTCTCGTAGAACCGATCTTTATCATCGTCATTGCTATGATTAGTGCATAACATTCGTTGTAATTCCCTCTTTCTTTATTCTGAATGATACTTTGATGACCTTGGATCCATGAGATTCCCATCCTGTAATAGTATTTCGTGCATCTTTAGACAGCATCAGATCAACTCTCTAAATGTGTGGAGCATTTTCCTCTTTGTGATCGTAGTACATCAGTATCCCTACTGAGTCTAATCTTTTCTGTCCAGCTTGGGTTCGATGGGTTTCGCTGATTCCGAGAACCGCGAAGTTGTATCTTATTTCTGTATCTACTTGGTTAGTCCTCCTGATCTCCCACGTTGTCCAGACAGTCCATGTACCTATAAAAATCGTTGCTCTGGTTGTTAGAAGGGGCATAGACCTCATGACTTCCAAACAATCTCGGCTTTCATCATGAGGCGTCATAATTCTTCCTTCAAATCCAAGGGCAGAGTTTAAATTTTTTTATTCTGGTTAGCGTTTTTTTCAGGAAGTTTATTTTCTACGGGATGGGGTTGCCGACCCCACGCCTAACCCTTCTTCTTTACCCGGGATTAAAACCGGCAGTAGTCTTAGAAGAACTACAGGTGGAGTATACCAAATAAGATGACTAGAATATTTAATTTTCATATAAGGTAACAACAGTTTCTAGGGATGGTTTGAAGTCTCAATATGAATAGTATTTAAAAGCATATACGTTGGTTTAAGTTAATTTCTTAGGTGAGGAAGTTGACTAGTTTAAGATTCAGGTTTTGTAACAGTGAGGTTGCTTTCAATTTTTTTTCATGTGAGACAATGGAGAAGAAGGAAGTAAAGAAGCTAATAACCGAACCATCTATTCCGGCAGGATAATATAATAATAATTTAGTATAACATAAAAATTATTATCCTTATACACCGATAATAACGAGGATTTTTACTGTAAAGTAGACGTAAATTGTGTATAATTTGTGTTTTTACATAAGAATTTGTTTGAACTTTGTCTATTAACTAGTAGTTTAAGTTGATGACGTTTTGAAATTCAGTTGGTTTTTAAAGTCAATTATATCATGTTGCACATAAATTTTATATCTATCCCGAATATATATTTAGTTGGAAATAGTGAAACATAACACTTTATATAATTTTATTAATTGTCTACTGTTAATATTAATGTTCATGGTGCATAACCAATGATGTATCATTTAATGTTTTCATGTGAATCAATGTTACAATGTGATTACAGGATAATAAATGTATCTAATTTATATGAGTATTACTTAGGTATTAGATGTTTTTTCAAAGTAAAACTGATACGTTTATGTGGAAGTGACCGTGTGTAATTGTAAATTTTCACAAATCATACGGATGTACCAAATGGCACTTTGATAATGCGGCATAATGATGATTTGTATGTCCTATAGATAGACGACATTCTATGGCATTGTTCTCGTAAGTAATTTCGGGTACTAAGAAGTCTGGATTTAAAATCAATTGAAATGTATATTCACCTGGAATTAGATCGGTAATATCTAACCATTGACAATCATAATCGTGGAAATAGTTATCTTGGCATCCAGGACTAATACCTTGTATAGCAATAAAAATATTAAGTAAGGGATTTATGTTATTATAAATACTAAAAGTCTCGAAGTTAAGGATTCGATTAAAATGAACTTAATATTACAATTTAATGTTGTGTAATAGTGGTGATTGACGAGATAGCTTAAGGGTCGTTATGTTAATTCAACGACTGGAGTATAAAATACTATTAATCCCTAATCTAATTTGCGGTTGTGGTATGTTTCAAGAGACCAATATCATTAGATCACATTCAAGAAATTTCCAGTTGGTTGTGATCAGCACAGAGCTTGGGACAAATGTATGTTAGCCCAAGTTGCTATAATACAATGTCAGAACAATGGCATAAAGTGATTAATTTGTATTTCCCAGTGTTTGTGTAGTTGATGTCATCTGTTAAAAAGATTAACATCATTTAGAAGACCATTTGAAACCAGCTCGTCTTTTATGGTTATTTCTCAGTATGCTAATCCTCGTTTGTTCACACCTATCCCGGATGGGTCAAACCATGACCTTCAGCACAATACTATTGAATCAATGAAATGAAATTCAATTGCTTATATCTTTGAACTACAGTCAGTTCACGTTAGTGCACAACTCTTATCACATATCGAAGCTCAATAACTTCCCACATAGTTAGTTGCGAGGAAGAGTTTCTGTTGGTTAATGGCGATGTTCATTAATATCGAAAAACCCTGGAGGAAAATAACTACACCAACCAGAGCTCATCAGGCTTATTACATTTTACTGTTGGTATAATGAATTCTGGTAGAATAACGCAATCTGAACAAGTCTTATAATAGGTTTTACCATAGAAACAGCGCTAGTCCCTGACTGTTAGTCAAAAGTAACAGAATTTGAATTATTTTATTAATGAATATTTTCAAGTCTAATACCTAACAGATGTTCGAGATTGTTCTATTGATTCGTTCTTATTATAACCAGTTAGAAGTGATAAATTGATAAGCTGCATTTCTCTCGTTACTTACTGTTTATTTTCTAAGTTACAGAGAATAAAATGGCATAAATAATTGAATCGAAAGGAAACTACATAACGTGTGTAGATGTTGAAAGTAATACATGGTTAAAT